CGCGTGGGAAGCGGGGGCGTGCTGCCCCTTCGAAAGGACCAGCGCACACCTAGGTTGGGTGCTGCGGCTGGTCCCCGGTGCTTTGCTCCTTCCAGGCTGGAATCCACAAGACAAGGATTTGGGATTGTGGGCCTACTCATTTCTAGGATGGAGCGAAGGAGTCTTGAGAAGAATAATTAGGACTAGACCTCCTTCCTGTCTGAAGAATTGGACCCTCTGCTCCCTCCATGCCACTTTTCCTTTGTGCATGAGTCAGGTGGACACAGAAGAGTAGTAGAGCCCTCAGGTGTATCTGAGGACCAAGGACCTGACAGCTGGACCTGGAGCCCCCAGCTGAGCCTGAGGCTTGTTTTCATTGGAGGTGGAGTGGATCCCAGCCCCCAAGAATGTCAGTAGTGGGTATAAGCAGGGTCTTTGGCAGTCCAGGGCCCAAGGCCCAGGTGTGGATCTGGGCAAGAGCCAGCTGAAGCTGAGCAGGGTTTCCTGGACGTTTACAAAGAGACCCTCATTTGCTCTCAGGCAGGCTGCTTCCAGGTGGGCCATTCTGTGTCCTCAGGCACTCCCACTCCTACTCCCAGAGGTGCTGACTCTGAGGGCAGAAAGTAGATTACCTTGTGTTTCAGCTCTCACCTCAGCCATTGTCCTCACAGGGACACCCCAGCACACACAGCTCACAGACGCACACATTCAGGAAAAAGTCACAGACACCCAGAGGCAGAGAACATAGACACACAGTCACCTGATGCACAGACACACATAGGTAAAGTGTGTCTACTGTGTCTACTGTCCACTAGAGTTCTGAAGGAACACAGGCCTGTAGACACAGAGACTAGAAGCACACACCCAAACTCGTACACACACAGAAAGGACACCCACGCAAACCCACATGCCCCCTCTGAAACAGACACACTTCTTTTCCCAGGAAGTAGGAATCCAGGGGAAGGATCCTGAATACAGATCTCAATTGTCTATCCCCTATCACTTCTCTTTGGAGAGGCTAAGACCAAGAGGGACTGGGCAGAACCAGGTTTGACTGGGTTCCCAAGACCCACTCCAACCACCTGTGGCCAGGGAGGCCGGCATGATGCTATTTTGCTACTGTGCTTTAGGAGAGAGGATACAGGGGCACCTCCCATCTGCTTATCCTTGTCAGCACAGGGTCCTGACCACAAGATAGTCTCAGGTGCGGGGTTTGGGGGAGGGGAAATGCCATCCAGAAGGGGCTCATGAGGGCTACCAGGCAAGAGCAGCCTCTATCCTCTCCAGGCTCCCCCCCCCCCAGGAGATCTCTCTTCTCATGAGCCAGAAAATAAATTAGGCCCCTTGGGATGGGAGTGGGGGACTCTGCCAACAGCTCTCCTGCCCCCAGACTCCTCATCCCCGGGAGACTTGTTTCACCCAAATGATGCTAACCTGCCTTCTCCAGGGGCCACAAATCCCAGTCCCTATCCCTGTCCCCTGATCCACAAAGGTAGGCTTCTTTCTGTTGGGCCCACAGTTGGCAGAGAGGCTGCCCGTATTCACAGTGAGTGGGAGCTTGCTGCTTTGGTCCAGGACTTTCGATTCCATTTTTGAAACCTTAACTCCCTGCTTATAGAATTTGGGTCCTGCTTAAAGATTTGGGCCCTTTTCTGTAAGGCCCAGATACTCCTCTTTAGAATCTAGCACACCCACATCCTCCCTCCAATAAAAACTGAGCCCTTCCCCTTGAATCTGGAACCCTCTTCGTAGGATTTAAGCAACTTTCTTTATGGGGTTTAAGCCTGGGTTTTGAGTGGAGGTATTCCCTGTGGGCCTGTGCCTGTGTCCATGGGACCTGACGCTCTGTCTACCTAGGCCTCTGTTCCTGGGGCTGCTGACTGATTGGGGCCTTTTATGTGGATTAGAAGAAGCACCCCTCTATGCAGACTCCGTCCTGAGGGCGCATCTCTTGGCAAATGGTCCCTTTGTGCAAAAACAAAGGTGTTGCTTCCTTCAGTGGGAGGTGGCCCTCTGTGTCTCCCTGACTTAGTGAGGGAGCTGGGGTGATGTTCGCCTCCTCTTGTCCCTTGTGTGGCTCCTTTGTGCTGTCTACAAACTGTACAACTGTGGGTGTGGAAGTCCCGTCTGTAGAATGTGCACCTCCACCTGTAATGCCTAGGCCTGTCTATAGGCCTCTACTGACGGGGACTGGGCTTTTCTGGAGAACAGGTCCCTGTTATAAGATTTTGGCCACTGTCCAGGCCTGGGACCTGATCTGAAGGTCCAGGCCTCTCTCTGGCATGTGGGTCATGGAAGGATCCCAGTCCCCTATCAGTGGGGTCTAGGCCTTGATTTATGTCTGTGATTTGAATCACTCTTGACTATGATTCACAGTAGGATGCATATCTGACTTGCAATCCAGTGTGCCCTTGTTTGTGTGTGTGCACACACAGCGAGTTTTATGAAGCAATACCTAACCTTAGTCTAGAGGATGCTCTTTTATATTTTTTCTTCTGCTCTATTCTTTTTTTGGTAGCAGGGATTGAACCCAGGGGTACTTAACCACTGACCCACATCCCCAGTCCTTTTTATTTTTTTATTTGTAGACACAGTCTTTCTAAGTTGCTGAGGCTGGCTTTGAATTTGTGATCCTCCTGCCTCAGCCTCCTGAGTCGCTGGGATTACAGGTGTGTGCTACTGCATCTGGTTTCTGCTGTATTCTTAAAATGAAAATAATGATAATAATAGTGAAAAGCTGGTAGAGAATCATAAAATTAATTTCTTGACTGCACCTCCCCCAGTGGGTTGCAGCCTATGGCATGAAACACTGGTGCAGAAGACCCAGCTGATCTCTGTGCACTGAGGGCCTCTGCAAGGCTGGGGTTGTCCCTGTAGGACTAGTCCTCTCTCTAGGGCCTCTAGCCTCTTTTCTCCTTACCTACAGGCTCTGCCTTCATCTCCCTCCATCCCTGGAGCTTGCCAGAACACTACTGGCTGCCATGAGGTCTCCAGGAACACAGAGCCCAGGCCCCCTGGGAGCTCTCTGACAGGGTGCCTCACTCTCCCCCATCCCCAGGGCACAAGGAAGCAGGGAGCTGAGCAGGTCTGGGGCAGAGGGAGATCTCAGGCTGTGTGGCCCAAGGCAGCTCCGGGACAGCGGGTGGCAACCACAGAGCTGAGCTGTGTTCAATAAATCATGGAGGCTAGGGCCTGGGGGAGGGGGAGGTCGGAGGGAAGGGGGGGCACGGATAAATAATTCATTAAACAAATAAACAAGGAGCCTGTGAGATGGAAGATCGGGCACGCGTGTGAGCAGAAGCAGCCGCCAGCTCCAGGCATGAAATATTCACAGGTTCTGCACCTTGCCCAGGGCCCATGTGTGTGCCCCAGCACCGCGGGCTGTTGGTGCCATCCCAACCCGGGGGTGCCAACAGAGAGGGTGATACACATGTCTCTTGATTTCCACGTGTGTGTGTCAGCATGACTCTGTGGTGTGCTACCCTCCTTGAGTTGACATGGTACCACCCACATGGCTGACAGCAGGGGACACAGTGCACCATGGTCCAAGACACAGGAAATTAGGAGGCAAGGCTTGCCTGGTAGGGTCAAGGAGCAATGACCTTGGATTCTAGTCTTGCCCTGATTCCCCCAAGGAGTTCAGCAAGCCAAAAGGCCTGAGCCTGAGCGGGGTGGCACTTTTGGGGTGCTACATTAGAGGAGTGTGTGAGTCTTCTGCATCCACTTGGAGACAAGCTCGGTGGGAGGCAGCATGCTTCACCACGGAAACACGGGCTTGGGCTTCAGTGCTATTCCACCCCTCTCCAGCCGCTGATCACTAACTTCTCTGGGATTATTTTCTCATCCATTCACTGGGGATAACAGCATTTCATCTGTTTGAGGAGTGGTTGCTACGTTAAGATCTACAATATCTGACAAGCACTGAGCACAGTGTTTAGGGCCCAGAGGGGGCTTGATTAGCGGAAGCCTTTTCTTCTTTCTTTCCCTCATGCTGGTGATGGAACCAGGGCTTCCTGATGTCAGGCAAGTGCTCTACTTCTGAGCTATACCATCATCATTCTTATTAAGAATTGTTTCCTGGGGCTGGGGCTGTAGCTCAGGGGCAGAGTGCTTGCCTAGCACGTATGAGGCACTGGGTTCGATCCTTAGCACCACATAAAAATAAATGAAATAAAATAAATAAAGGCATTCTGTCCATCTACAATTACCAAAAAAAGTTATCTCCTAAGCCTGCGGATGTAGCTCAGTGGTAGAGCACTGGCCTCGCACATGCAGGACCTTGAGTTCAATCCCCCAAACCACACACACAAAGTTAACTCCTGCCCTGTGTAATGGCATGCCTGTCATCCCAGCAAATTGGGAGGCTGAAGCAGGAGGATCACAAGTTCGAGGCCAGCCTCAGCAACTTAGCAAGACCCTGTCTCAAAATAAAAAATGAAAAGGGCTGGGGATGTGGCTCAGGGGTAGAGTGCTCCTGGGTCCAGTCCCCAGCACCCTCTTCTAAAAAGAGTTATCTCCTAGCTCTGCCTACCTGGACCTGTCACAGACTCTCTCTTCCATTGGTTCCCCTTCATTTCCAAGCTTCCTTAACAGCTACCACAGGAGGAGAGGGACTTAGCGCTTGGGAAGTAGAAAAAGATTGTATGGACTGAGGGGAAAAGGAAGTTACTATGAAAAAAAAACCAAGACCCCTCCTTGACAGTG